GGGGGTCCCTGTAAAAATACCAAAAGTGGGGCGCCTGGGTGGCTCAGTCGGTTAAGTGTCCGACTTTGGCTCAAGTCGTGATCTCATGGCTCACGAGTCCTGAGCTCAAACCCCACATCGGGCCCCTCAAGGGACGTGCAGAGCCTGCTTGGGATTCTCTCTCCTCCTCTCTCTCTAGCCCTTCACTGCTCACGTCTCTCGTGTCTCTCTAAATAAACAAATAAACATTAAAGAAATTTTTAAACTAAAATACTAAAAGCAGTGGCAGCAGCTCCAGCGTGGTTCCCACATCCGGGCACAAGGCCTGGTGACGTCTGGAGTGGAGTTCAGAGGGAAGTCATGGCACCTTTTTCTCTGGAAGGTTTCACAGCCTCGAAGGATTCTCGTCAGGAGGACAGACAGAATAAGTCCTCAAGGTCCCCTGAACAGCAGGCTTTCCCTTCACGGAGGGGCCTCTGTGATGCTGTAAAATGTGAAATCAGCATATCCGGTCTTCCCCACGCCCGCTCAGCTGGAAGGCCATCCGCCCCATCGTCCCCAAAATAAATGGGGAAAACCTGGCTGTCTCCTGTGCGTTCTCATATGCCCCACACCATCTCTCCTCAGTCGGAGACGCATCCTGGCTAAGCAGGCCCCAGATGTCCCGATGAACTTGGTTTTCAGCAACTGCCCCCACTGTGCCTTTGCTTGTTTGTTTGTTCCACCTCTAAAGGCACACAAGTCATTGGAGGCAAAGTCACAACCCAGATGAATTGCTAAGAAAGTCCCTAGAGACCGGCAGTTTCTGTGGGCCGTCCGGGTGCCCGGGGAGAGGCCAGAGGGAGGAAGAAAATCCCGCTCGGGCCCACGGGGTTTCCTGAGCGTCCGTGCAGGGATGAAATGACCTCCTTACCCCTTCTCCCGTCAGGAAACAAAGCAAGAGGAGGAGGAGAGGCTGGTTCTGGAGAGCAACCCTCTGGAGTGGACGGTGACCGACGTGGTGAGGTTCATCAAGCTGACGGACTGCGCCCCCCTGGCCAAGATCTTTCAGGAACAGGTGCGCTTGCCCTCCTGCTGCATTGGTGACGTTTTGTTTGCTCTTCTGATTGAGCTGGCTCTCTGGGACCCGGCTCTGGCAGGGGAGAGGGTGCCTCCCTGTTACTGGGGGGGAAGAGGTGGGTGCCAACCCAGGTGCACACGTGATCCCTCCCTGACACCTCTGCGGGGGGCTCCTTGCTGTCGAGGAAGTCCCCACTTGGTTTTCCCTGATAATCCCTTGTGGGGGCGCTGGGGGCCTGGGGTCATCTGGGCAGACTGGACATCAGGGTCCCTCGCCCGGCCTTTGCTGCTCTTGGAGGCGGGGGTTCTCTGTCCTGCAGGAAGGCCATTTTTGTCTAAAAGGTTTCTGTCTGCCGACGCTCCCTTTTCCTCAGTCCTTTGGCTGAAAAGAGCAGGTTTCCGTGGGGCCCCTTTCCCTCACGCACATTGGCATTGCGGGGGTTGCAAGCTTCTTTAGCAATCGGTCTTGGCTGCAGAAGGCAGACGCACAACGAGGGCACGCCCCACCGTGCCCCAACTCAGGTCCCCAAGTCCCTACCGGTCTGCCACCTTCTCTCTGCCATACGTTTGATTCATAACATTCAGGGCTTTTGTTACATTTAGTAGGAGAAACAGGGAAAGGATGTGTGCTCATCCTCCCAGAGGTGGGAGCCCTTGTCCTGCTGTGTTTTGCGTGATGTTTTCATATTTGTTTCACTCTTGCATTTGTAAAAATGTCAACAACCCAGGGTATGTTAGGTGCGGTGCCAAAGGATGATGGATGATTGCATCAATCCTTTTTTTTTAATTTTAATTTTTTTAATGTTTATTTTTGAGACAGAGAGAGAGAGAGAGAGAGCATGAGCGGGGTGGGGGGGGCGGGGACAGAGAGAGAAGGAGACACAGAATCTGAAGCAGGCTCCAGACTCTGAGCTGTCAGCACAGAGCTTCACACAGGGCTCGAACTCATGAACCGCGAGATCATGACCTGAGCCGAAATTGGATGCTAAACCAACTGAGCCACCCAGGCGCCCCGGATAACATCTATCCTTTAATGGCGTTTTGACTCTGCAGGTGAGACGATCGTAATTAGCCGAAACGTAAGACATGCTATGAGCCTCGGGAAAGGAGGGATTGGGTTCCATTGCTCCTTAAATGGGTATGGAAACAGGTTGCCCCTCTGGACCTGTGCCACCAGGCTGCCCCCTGGCCTCCTATGGAAGCGCCAGGTGGAGCCCGCGACTTATGCCGCCGTGTTCCCTGCATGTCTCACGTTGTCTCGCCATGTATAAATATCCGTCTTTCAGGACCTGGCATTTAAAAAAAAAAACAACTGTTTACCATCTAATCAATTAAAGATGTGTCTATCCAGTGCTTTTTTAGATTATGCAGACGGATGCTCTGGAAAGAAAGTAACTCAGGCATTAAATCAGGAAGAGAAAAGAAAGGCCTCTGATTCTGCATGCACCCAGTGTATCCCCCAGATTTTCCTCCAGGCCTGCTGTGTAAAAAGCAAATTAATGTGGTTCCCAGCTCCTCCTGGGAGAGGGTAGCACTTCAAACATTCAAAGGTTGCCGACTGGTCGACCACCAGAGTCTCCCTGTAGACACCCAGCAAGTGCACGTGAAGGAGGGAACGGCAGCCACAGGGGAGGGTCACCTTGCTGTGTGACATTATCAGCACTTCCTCTCTGAGGGACCAGAAAAGCAGAAAGGAGAAAAAAGCTGCATCGCATGTAGGGAACTGGGCCATGAGTGTGTCCCTTCGTTCAAAACACACAAACGGGACAGTTACAGCCACCACGAGGGCTGGCACGATTTGGAGCATCTCAGTCCTGAAAACAAGAATAAAGCAGTGGGTTGAACCCCTGCTAAGAGCGTTGCCTAATGCAGCGTTTTCCCAGGCTGCTGTTGGCCCATAGTGACACCGCGAACAAGGCATTGCATTGGAGTGCGTGCCACGTGCTGATGACCCAAAGTTTAACGTGTGGATCTCTTTGCTCGTGTGTTCGTTCTGTGTACATCGACAAGGCATCTGTTTATGGGTCTTAAGATATTCAAAAGGTAGGTGTAGAAGGTGGTATTCTAGATTATCTGCAGTTGTGTTTTGTTTTTGTTTTTTTTTTGCTTTATTTCATCTGTAGACCCAAATGCCCAGTTTTGACTGAGAAACGCTTTTCACCTGGGCTGTGGGCAGAGCAGAGCACAGAGCTCCCCTGCTCAGTTATGGCTGAGCAGCACTGTGAGAGGCCACCAGGCTCGAGTGGGATTGTTTTTACAGGTTTCTTTTTTTTTTTTTTTTTTAAGTTTTTATTTTGAGACAGGGAACAAGCAGAGGAGGGGCAGAGAGAGAGAATCCCAAGCAGGTTCCACATTGTCCGTGAAGAGCCTGATACAGGGCTCGATCTCACGAACCGTCAGATCATGACCTGAGCTGAAACCAAGAGTCAGACGCTTACCCGACTGAGCCACCCAGGCGTCCCTACAGCTTTCTAATACTAAGCAAGAAAGTGAGAACAAAGCTGACTTGGGAAAAAGGCTCAAGTAGTACAGATGCTGAGTTATCCTTAATTGTCCTTCTGAGCCCAGCTTATTACGGTTATCTCAGGAAGTTTCCGGTCTTCCCAAGCTAACATGTCTAAGAAATGAAGCATGCCTGGTACGTTAGCACTTCTAGAACCAGGCAGTGGGCAGGGCCCTGTCTCCAATTTCTCTTCTTATGTTGGTTAAAAGCTTGGTCGTACATACCTACTTATTTAACTCTTATAGGCAGAAAAATAGGTAAGCTTTTAATTGATAATAGCCTTCTTCTTATTTCAGATTTCTCATTAGGCCTTCCACCCCCACCCCCGTCACCATAATACGCTGTTGCCCTCTGTGCTATCTGAAGTGTGTGGGATTCGAGTCCTTTTCCATTCGATCAGGCCCGTAATTACGAATTTTTGTGTATTTGTTCTATCATTTTTGAGCCCAAGTGCCATGGTCATGATTCGGTGAGGCCTCCAGTGGGTCAGGCCAGCCAAGGCCTCGTGGCCAGCCGCGAGCTTTTAGACGGCCCCAAGGAGCCAGCAGGCGGCTCTGTTCAGCAGCGCGGGAGAAAAATCACAGGGCAGAATGGTGATCGCTACATTCAGAAGCCGTCACAACCCGCTGACACAAAGTATAAACTTCCCATTACCTGAAGGCCCACCTTTAATTCTGAAATGTTACGGCAACAGCTTAAAACATCTACGCTCTGTAATTTCGTGCTGCAAACATGTACGTTGCACAGTAAAACTCCACACGTCTATAACTGAGAGAAAAAAAAGAAAAACCACAAAACTCTTAAATAAAATATTGCCTCTTTATACACCTCTTCTGAAGCAGAGACACATATAATAAGCAGACTTCCCCAACGAGTGATTCACTTTGATGAAAGAAACTCGGGGTCGTTGACAGCTTATGGACTGTGCTGTCTGCTCTCTGGTTCCGTAGACCTGAATGTCCCTGCTGAGGACCTGCTCCGTACCCAAATAAATTTAATTTTGTGTGTGCTGGGCCTTCTCTTTCCTGTTGAGTGTTTTACCAGGGCTCCTTTCTCAAAAATCAGTAGTCTGTTTAGGGTCCTTTTCCGTGTTTCACATACGAGTGATTTGCCGGCAGCTTGGAAGTATGCAAGAGCAGAGCTATAAAAATGAAATCCGCGGCGGGGTCTGTAACTACACGATCAGCGAGGAAGAGCTCACTTCTTTCAAACGAAAACACAGGAAGCCGCCCTCGGGATGCGGGGTGGGCTTCCTTCCCTGGTGCTCACGCCAGGTCGGTGAGCCTCGGGCCCGGGCTGGCTTCCGTCCCCCCATTGTCCCCCGAGCCGTGGGGCCATCTGCGCACAGGAGAGCGTCGGGGGGCACCCGCAGCTTCGACGCCCCTGAGCCGCCACTGCGGCCTCTTCCCCTCCCGCGACCGTCTGATGGTCGGGTGGCTAAATCCAGCCCCTTGCAGCCGGACGCTTTGGTGTTCAGAAAGCAGGGGCGCCTTTTAACGCTTGATCACGCATCCGTCTGAAGATGAGAACATGCAGGGCAGGGTCGCACAGCGTCAGGGAGGATGGAAAACGAGAACCGAGGACCACAGCCAGAGGCCCCGAGGCGGCTCAGAGCCAACAGGCTGCACAGAACGCCCGCCCTGCCCGAGATACCAGCCGGCTTCCAGGTGACGCGCAGGGCGCAAGGTCTCTGCGATCAGTCAGACCGCCTCACCCCAGCCCTCCCGTGACCTTGGTCCTCCTGCACACTCACGTGTGTGCAGACGCATTCGGCCGGGTGTTTCTCCTCGCTCCGCGATGCCCAGTGCACTGGGGCTGTGCGCGGGGCACCAGAGAACACGAGTCAAGCGCACCGGCCCGTAGGAGGGTCCGTCCAGTCCAGCTGCCCACGCTTACAAAGCTCACACTCAGAGCGTGAACTCTCCACCCCTCAACCGCGGCCTCAAAGCTGAGACCTCTTTATTTATTACTTTTTTTTTTTTTAAGTTTATTCATTTA